TTTGTTGTTGTTAATTATTCAATATACAATCAATTGACCTTTGTACCTGAATCAGTTTGTCCTTTGTCTAAATCAGATTAATGCTAGGGGTAACCAAAATCAGCCGGAATTGCTTAATTAGTTTTTGATAAAAACGTTGTACTAGCGTTGTTTGGATTCCTACTTATGATCAAGCATATGAATTAGTTTCAATAAATGTATATTACCATCTCCTAAAGCATATCCAAATGATGTCACACTACCCTATCAACACAAATCCAAATTTACCAAATAATTCACTTCATAGTTTATCATATTTTCCCTCTTATGTTTTGTAATTTGGCAGTTTGATTCTAATTTCTGCAACCCGGATTCTAATTTCAGGCGCCAATTTGATTTCCAACCCAAATGTACCATGAAGGTTTGGAGCTGCACCAGTCTAGGTGGTGCAAACACTCAACTCCATGTCACCATTGATGGTCATTGTCTATTTTCTTTCGCACTTATATATTATTTTATCGAGAAATCGAAACACGAAGTAAGTGAAGACGAAGATGAATCGAGATTATGAGTAAGTTCCCTCTACCACTTTCTTTGTAGGTTAATCGGTACAATGTCTCATAGATATATGGTTTAAGTATTACTACGTACCATAAACTATATCCCAAGTCTCTCTCCTTCTCTTTTTTTCTCTCTCTCTCTTCATGCAAGAGTATTGTGTTTCGGTTGTTCCTATCATTTTGGATAAATGCTGGTTGAGATTACATTGTGTAATTATTGTGGGGTTCCATGAATTTCTATATATACAAGCAGGCTACTTTATATGATCATCCGAATTTGAGTGTTGAATGAAATTAAATTGAGCTTCTGGTTTTGTTGAGAAGATTGATTTCTTCTTAAACTCTTATATCTACATGTGTGTCATCAGATCAGATTCATTAAGTTAGAATGTCCTGTGTTTTTCCACATAAGAAATCCATGGTAGATAAACTTACAAGTGTCAAGATACTATTTGCTAAGCTCATAGTTCATTGAGCCTTTTTTTTTCCTTTTTTTTTTTTTTTTTTTTTCTGACCTTGCATGGGCACGCGGCTTGTTTCATAACAATCAATATGCGCCCTCATGTGGTGATATGAAAATCATCAGAGCTTCATTTCCAATCATCTTCAACTCCCATAACTTTTTGGTGCTCTCATTCCACTTGCCAACTCTCAAGTCCATGCTGAAATGACCATTTTGTTCATCAATTTCAATATGTCATTAATTGTTTCAAAGAGTTTTTGTAGACATTGTTCCATTGTGTATGAATGAACTTGTGTTTGAGATCACGTTGGAATCTCTGCGTATGTTTTCTGATCAAGTCATTACCATCTCAACATATCGCAAATCTTTTAATCAAATTCGGTATACATCGTATTATGTACACGACGATGATATGATTCGTAATAATTAAGAATCAATTAAAGCTATTATACTAATTTAGCGTCGAAAAATTAATTGAGAGATGAGGAGAAAAATCCACCATAGGGTAAGAGCTAGCAATAAGTTGACTATTCTATGGAATCCACCCCAACGGAGATAGACAGAAGAACTCGTCGCCTATATTGGAATATATCCACATAATAATGGAGAATTAACAAAAATTTGGTCTTATTCTTATCAAGTTAAGCACTAGACTTTCATTTTTATCAAGACATGAAATGATAAAAATATACTAATTCGATAGATAAATATTAGATTAGTTTTCACATGAAGATTTTAGAAGCCATAGAAAAATTCAAAGAATGTAAAGATTAACAAATATCCAGACACTTACAAAGTTTGAGGGAAAAAAAGAAAACTATGTTAACTTGAAAATACGAAATTTCTTTTATTTCTTTGGTTCTTTTTTTTTCTTTTTTTTTTAATGAACTTTATTTATGTATTTTTAATTAGTTTATAGCCATTGACATTAGTGGCACATGATGAGATGGCTAACAGTACAATTAGCACCTAATAGTTAACAATCAGAGTCATTTGGGCTCATACATGTGGTATTAAGCGTTGTTACTGTCTTTATCCTCATTCTGTACTACACAGATGACAATGACTATAACGTTGTTTTCTTATAGTGGTATGTTCACATCTAAGGCTACAATATGATCCTTAGCTCTTTTTTATCTTTCTAACAAGTAACTTGATGTGTTAAGATTTGTTGTTAAAGGATGTGCATACATATAAGTGCACGCATTCATGCATAAACGCATATATCCGTCCCTCTCTATAGAATCAGTGAAGGATCTAGATCCATGACACTTGTACATCACAAATACGGTCGAAGTCTTGAAGATGCTGAAAAGTATAAAGCAGGATCGTGACCATGAAGAAGGTTGCTGCTGGCATCAATATCATCGAAATAGCATGCCAAATGGGTAAAATTAATTGCATAAGAATTATCTAGACATCTACAGCATTCCCTGCCCCTGTTCAATCAGTTCTAGTAAAGATGCTGCATTAAAAGTATAAATAAATTTTCTCAAAACCGATCTAGTAGATTCATGTGGGCCCTACAAAATCATGGACACCGCAACTTGCTTGCACCAATGGAAATGTGTGTATATATTTTGTGGGCCTCACTATTATTACCTTGAGTTTCGAAATTCAAATCTTTCCTGCGTCAATTATCGTTTGTGAAAAAAAATAAAAATTGAATTACTATTAGGTAGGTTTTTTAATTAAAATAACATGTCAAACTATATGATAAGAGAATATTTATACGTGTGTACACGTACGTATGTATTTCCGTTGGATTGGTAGTGATGGAAGTTGATAAGTATCTAGCATCTAGTTCAGCCTTAGCTATGGAAACTATTTAACATATAAATCACCAAAACCTAAATAGTAGTGGGGAAACCACTCCCTTATCTATTTCTAGTTTAATACACCATTTGGAGCAAAATTCAATCTTAACCCATCTTAGCACCACGCAAAAATCATTATCTTCTACACCCTTGTATTTTGAATTAAAATGAAAACTCAACTTATCATCAATAGTTTAGATTCCCGCATGCGACGAGTGTGGTTTCAGGTCCCCACTCCATTTTTACCTCTTCTATTTGTATATTATATATGATATATAATATTATAATATGTTAAATTAATTTTAGGATATTTATTCTAATATAAAGTAAAATATTATGTTATTTTGGTCTATGAATTAACCATAACATTTATTGATATCTCTTCTACTCATCTCCCTTAAATCTTCTAAGTTAGTTTATAACATTTGCACTAAAAGCTTCTAAAGTTTTAAGCTTTCTTTCTCTTCCTCTTTTTTTATATTATAATTTTATTTTTTAAAGCTTTGTGAATTTTTTTTCCTCATATTTTTTTATGTATGAGTTGGGTACCTTAATATTACGCTTTATGAACTCTTTATTTTTCTATTTCTTTTCTCTATTGGAATATAAATTATTAATTTTTAAGTCTTTAATAGTGTAGATGATGAAATTAGTATTTAACAAATTTAAAATATGAAATTCATGATAATTATGAACATACGACAAGTTTTATGAGGGGTCCCTCTAATGTGAAATTATAGCTTCGTCGCTGTTAACAACATAATATATCAAAACCACAGAATTATTGAAGATTTGTACATGTGTACATACGTATACAAACTCAATTACGGTATTAGCTAGCAAACATATTTAAAAAAACCATTTGGAGCATAACCAAGTTGTACGTGAGAGTGTATTTTGCATGCATGGATGTTTGTGGTCGCCCATTACAAAATCACCTAGTGTGTACGTAGGCATTATATAGCCCGTCTATGCCTATAGGCTGCAGGCTGAGGCCAGAGATTGTCATCTCATATCATATCCCCACGTAACGAAAGTGATCACAGTGAGTGGAAAATCTTTGCAGATCGCAGCCTCCCACTAAAGCAAGGCCATCCAATTGGGATGAAGTTGGACCACAAGACCGACACCGTCTATTGTTTTTATTTATTTATATATTTTATAAAATTAAAAATATGTTCGTACAACATTATTGGCATGGTGATCTCAATATCAACTTCAAAATTCAATCCAATAATTTGAAATCCGATCCCATTAATTAATCATCCCAATAGAAGATTAAGATAATCAGCGCGCCCCAAGTGGAAACATAAGTAATTAATACAAGTGATTAAGGATTTTATAGGCTAATAAGCGCTTGAGTGAGGGTTAGTATTTTATTGCTTCCAGCAAAAATGTGGTATGTCGACATGGTGTTACAAATCCGATATCTTTTCCAACTAACGGTCCAAATCATGCATATGATACTCTGTAATTGTATAAAATTCATGAGATGTTGGACTAGCTAGCTAGCTCGCCTGAGACATTAAAAAGCTAACACAAATTATTACATTTATAAACATGATATTTCATAATTCATATACTTGCTACCCCTATAATATACTTATAAAAGACAAAAAAGGTTAAAAGAACTAAATTACTCTTTAACTGAAAACATAACATAATTAATCGAGAAAACCTGTTGAAGAACTACAGAGAAATACTTCTTCAGCATCAAGCGAAATATGAAGTTTCATCGAGAATCAACATAACCCATTCTTGGCTCTGACACCATGTTAAGATCGAAGAATTTGAGAGAACGAATGGACGACGATTAAAGAGAAACAAGTGATTAACTTTTTGTTGACTGATGATTGTATTACAGCAGCCTTAACCATATATCAAGCTCTCCACTTTCTAGCTGCTGTAACAGAATATAC